GCTGCTGCTGGAGTCCGGGACCAGGTGCCCAGGGTGGGGCTGGAGCTCCGGGGTGTGTGTGTGGGGGCAGCCCGTAGTTTTAAGTGGGTGAAGTAAGTGGATTTGACTAAGGGGGAAGGTGATCAGGTATGTCTGCAGGGGCTGTTGTCCAAGACAAGGAAAAGGGAAGTTCCTATCTACCTGGGGTGACGACAGTGGGTCAGTGTCCGTGAGGTTCCTTGGGAAGAAGTGGCAAGGTTAGGCTATGGGGCATCTGAGTCTCAGGAGGGGCTCAGGAGGCCAGTGAGGGAGAGAGGAAAGGAGACGTGGAAATGTTTGAAGGCAAGTGAGGTCATGGAGATGGGTACCCTGCTCTTCCTTCCCCGGGCCTGAGGAGGACAGGTCGGCGGCAGTGACCGGGTACGAAGGGGAGTTGGGAGAAAGGATGGGGAGGCAGGCCCTTAGAGAGGGGAGGGGTTGGGCTATGGAGAGGGTGTCCTGCTCCTGAGGCCAGGGGAGGGGCCAGCTGAACATGATTCAGTCAGTTCAATCAGTAAGTCTTCACAGAGTGTGTTACTTGTTCAATAATAGGCACCCCCCCAAAAATGTGTCATTCCTCCTAACCTCCAGGTTTGTAGCTAGAATCATCCCATGTAGGAATGGGTTCTGTCCCAAACCAAACACAACCAAGTCAAGTAACCCTGTAGGGCAAAGTAGAGGCCCTGTGAGTTTCTGACACTGTAACTGTTTATGGGAGTAGAAAGCCCAGTTTTTTCTCCCAAGGGGCAGAGAGTGGTTTCGAACTGCTGACCCTGATGATTGCAGTCCAACATATAACCACTACGCCACTAGGGCTCCTGTTACATTAACGAGACAGTATTTGTGTAAGGTGTACCTTGGCTCGATCTGTTTTGCGCTCTAAAGAGATCAAACAAGGAAACCAGAAGAAAGATGAGGGAAGAGAGATAGCAGGCCACATGAACCTCTCCAAGAGACAAGGATCTTAGTCCAGAGCTGGCTGAGAGAGCAAACTTTCTCTTTAAGAGCTGGTGCCCTGGATGAATTCTTCCACCCTGCTAAAGAGAAAATAAACCTTTGTTGTTAAAGGAGCCCATTTGTTGTCTATCTGTGACAGGAGCACTGGCTAACTAAGTGGTCTACACTCGGTCCCGCTAATGGAGAAGTCCACAGCTGGAAGTCACCAGCTGCTCCTGGGGAGAAAGATGGGGCTTCCCGCTCCTCTGAAGGTTTACAGCAGGCGTCCTCAAACTACGGCCCGCGGACCACATGTGGCCCGCCAAGAACATTTATCTGGCCCCCTAGGTGTTTTTGCCTCGTTTGTTTT